CTCCGAGGCTCCCTGCCTCTGTCTGCTAGCCTAGGCCTAGTCCTGGAAACTTGTCGCCTCCGAGGCTCCCTGCCTCTGTCTGCTAACCTAGGCCTAGTCCTGGACGCTTCTAGCCTCTTTGCAATGTGACCTTGGCCTAGAACCTTTTCAGCCTCTGAGACTTCTTAATAAACTCGCCCTTTTTTGTTCTTATTTAGCTCTGGGCTGGCTGGATCAATTCAGCTGTTTTGGCTCAAACTACTCTCCCAGCTGATTTAATCAGTCTGGCTTCTCTCTCAGCCTCTGAGTTGCTCTGTCTGAGCCTCAAACTAACTCAAGCAATCTGCTCTAATCTACTGGCTCCTTCTCATTCTCTGGCTTATTCCATCTTCACCAGAGTTCTCTCTCTCTGCAACCTCTCTCTATTACTGTCCTGGTAAAAACTGCCTCCTTTCCCTCTCCCTCTCTTAATCCTTCTCCCTCCCCCCTCTGTAGTTTCCCTTTCCTCTCCTCCAGAGAGTCGGGCATATCCTAGTCTGTCAAATCTTTCTCTAATTTGTCGCTTTCTCTGCCACTCAATTAGACATCATGTTCAAACATGGGTGCTTCCTTCTACAAATTAACTTACTTTACCTTCATTGTTTGGGATTAAAGGCATCTTTAATCCCACTACACCTGGATAAATAAGCTATTTATTTATTTACCTGAAACTTGCTCTATTCCAGGCTGGCCTTGAATTCAGATCTGCTTGCCTCTGTTTCCTGGATTAAAGGTGTGTTTGTATTCCAGCTTGATCACATAGAACTAAAAGATCTTTGGATGTGATGGCTCTTGCCAGAACAGCTATATTCTGAATTAACTTTCTTCTATAAACCAGAATTTCTTAATTAAAAGGAACCAACATTTTGCTCTGATGCATTATCAAAAGTAATTTACCTGCCTCTCCTAGTAGCAGTGGCTGTAATCCCAGCTGCTGGGGAGGCTAAGGCAGGAAGAACCAAGGTTCAAGGCCTGACTGGGCTACAAGGTGAGTTCATAGCTAGCCTGGACAACTTAGCGATACCCTGTCTCAAAATAAGTGGACTGGGGTAGCAGCGCGCGCATGAGGTCCAAGGTCCCCAACACCATTTCAAAACAAGGTCCCCCAGATTCACTGTGTATGCACACCTATGTACTCCCCGAGCTGCAGAACCCTGGGAACCCTAAAAAAGGAATTACAACACAACACAACACAACTTCGTTTTGAATTTGTGTGTCCAGGTGTTGCACGCGCATGTGTGGAAGCCAGACATCGACGCCGGTGTATTAGCCCTCAGAAGCCGCTTGTGTGCCTGCACGTGTGTGCGCGCCATGGGAATGGCGGTGCCCGTGGAGGCCAGAAGGTGGTTATGGATCCTCTGGAACTGGGGTTACAGGTGGTTGTGAGCAGTGGGAACTGACCCCGGGCCCTCTGCAAGAGCAGCAAACGCTCTTACTCGCTGAGCCGTCTTTCCCGCCGCCGCCTTGTTTACTGTGACCTGGGGCTTGCTAGTTCGGCAGGCTGGCCGTGAGTCTCAGGGATCTGCCCTGAAATTACACCTTCCCAGCCCTGGAATTACAAAGTAGATGTCATTACATTCAGCTTTTTAAAAACTTAATTTTTAAAATTATGTGTAGATTTGTTCATCTGTGTGTGGGCTTCTGCACACGCGCAGTGGCCACAAGAGCGAGAGGAGGGTGCTGGACCCTTGGAGCTGGCCTTCCAGGCCGCTGTGGGTGCTGGGAGTTGTTCTCGGGCCCTCCGCGAGGGCAGCAGGGTATCTGGCTGCCGAGTCATCTCTCCAGCTCCCAATCCAGATTTTGTCTGTAGGTTCTGGGGATTGAACTCAGGTCCTCGTGCCGGAATGGCAAGTACTTGACCCACTGAGTGATCAAGCCAGCCCTACAGCAGAATACAATTTTGGCATAATTTAAATTTTGTTGAAATATTTATAACCCCTCCGTGTATGTTAACATTATCACAGCACACCGAGTAATAAGAGCATCAGGTACTAACAATAGCAAAGAGGCCGGGCAGGGGTGGCGCACGCCTTGCATTCCAGCACCCTGAAAGCAGAGGCAGGAGGATCTCTGTGTTTGAGGCCATCCTGGTCTACAGAGTGATTCCAGGACAGCCAGGACTACACAGAGAAACCCTGTCTCGAAAAACAAAATACCAAACCAAACCAAACCAAACCAAACCAAGAGAACCTTTAAGCCAAAACAATGACAGAGAGGAGACAGTCACCCAGCTGTCTCCGCGGGTAAGCTGAGGAGCGGAGTTCCAGTCCCGGGATCCCAAGGCGAAAGCGGATTATCAGCTCCCTACGGCAGTTCGTGATCCTCACGTGCACACTGCGGCATGCGCGCCCTCCCACCTCTCTCCATACACAGGCTGGCAACACTGCTGGTTTTCCTCTGCCACCTTCACTTCCTCGTAGACGCAGGCTGTCTTTAACATTTCCTCCCTGTACTTACAGGTATCTGAGGTGTTCATGCGCGATGACTTCAGGTGGCTCAGAAGAAAGAACTCAACGATCGGGGCTGGAAAGGGCAATCCTAGTGAGAGAATATGCCTTCTAATATAAATTAGATTGCAGCCACCTGACTGCCCAACACTTAGGTCTTTTTTGTTCTGTTTTTAATCTATTATTTTTATGAATTACAGTTTATTCACTTTGTATCCCAGCTGTATCCCGCTCCCTCGTCCCCTCCCAGTCCTGCCCTCCCTCCCTCTTCTCCTCCCATGCCCCTCCCCCAGTCTACTGATAGGCAGGTCCTCCACTTAGGTATTTTTTTAATCAACCTTTAAGAAACTAGATGAAATCTACAAAGATTTTCATATGCTTCAAAGTAACAGTTTGCTTTCCATTTTCCCTGAGGGTGTCTAGCTAAACTTACAAAGGAATCTGGTTATGGGACTTTTCTAATGGAGGGTGGAACATTAGACAGACGGGGCACAGACAAGGTCAAAGAATGACGCCACAATATTCAGTTTGGAAACTTCATTTTCTTAATTGTCGGGCTTAGTTGTCCAGCTGGCACAGCAAGGCCACCCCTCGCTTGACCCAGTGCTGAGCGGGCTGGTCTGTTTTCAGCAGCATGGCGATGACGAAGTTGGTGGAGTGCCCGGTAGTAGAAAGCGTCCCTTTGCGCTCGCTCGTCTTGTACAGGGGACAGTTATAGGATTTGGACTTCACAATCTCAGACTTCTTATCTGGGGAAAGAAAAGAGAGAAACATATCCATTAAAAGGAGGAAACAGCCCCTGTCTCTAAAAGGTAAACACTTGTTTACCTTGTAGTAGGATGGCCAAGATCTTGAGTGTGATCTTTGGAAGATTTTTAATAGTTGGTATATCAAGGCAAGCACTTTCATATGGTACTTGAGTCTAGGTCTGGAAATCAGGACTTGATTATAAAGTTTTGTTCTCTTATGGGGCTGGAGAGGAGAGAGCTCAGCAGTGAAGAGCACCGGCTGCTGCTCCAGGGACCCTCAGGCGAACGTCCAGCACCTTCCTCTGGCAGCTCACAACCTTCTGCGGTTCTAGACCCAGGAGATCTGGACCCCTGCCTCCACAGGCACCTGCACACATGCGGCACACAGACACACACATAAATTAAAAACAGAACTCTCTAAAAATAACCGTGTGCATACATGTGTGTCTCTTCGTGTGGGGATGGGAGTACATGAATGTAAGTTCAACGGCCCATGGAGTTCAGAAGGGGACACGGGATCCCCTGGAACGGAGGTACAGTTGTAAGCCATCCAACGTGGGTGCAGGGAGGCAACTTAGATCCTGGAAGAGCAGCAAGTGCTTATAACTGCTGGGCCATCTCTTCAGTTTACTTAAAAACAAACAAAAACAAACAAAAATAAAAACAATGATGGGTCTTTAGTCCCAGCACTCAGGAGGCAGAGGCAGGCAGAGTTTGAGGCCTGAGTTTGAGGCCAGCCTGGTCAAAGAGCAAATTCCAGGGCAGCCAGGGCTACATAGAGAAACTCTGACTCAAAAAAACCAAACATAACCAAAACCAAAACAAAAAGAAAAAAAGAAAGGGGTAAAGTTGACCTCTTTTCCACATGGCTTCCATATGGGTCTTAGATCTCCTGGTTGGCTCTAAGGCCTATGGGTCTCTTACAGCCAGAAAATGCTCATCCAAGGTGTGGAAAGGCGAAAGAGAGGCTGACACACCATGAGACCCATCATAGGAAAGTGAGTATAGAGTAAACAAAATGGTATCTTAAAAAGATGGTTATTTGCTCATTTCTGTGTCATGAATGTAACTTCTCTTCGAATGTGTGCCATGTGTGCGGGGCCTGCTGAGGCCAGAAGAGGGTGTCAGATCACCTGGAGCTAGCGTTTGAGCAGGCCAGAGATACCACGACCCCTGGAGCTAAGAGGTGGGAGCTGGGAACTGAACTGTACCCTCTGGAAGAATAGAAAGCACTCTTAACAGATAAACCATTTCTCTAGCCTTAAAAGTGTAGCTTATATAGATTAGGAACACAAAGAAGCAGAACAATGTACCCAAAATAATATAAAATGCCACAATATATTTACAGCACAGATATTCCACCTTTTATGAATCATAACTGAATTAAATCCTAAAAGGTTGGAGAAAAAACTTATTAAGGGGAACAATTAGTTTCTGCCATTACTCTCTGTAAAACTCAAATGTATTTTGTTATGTATTTACTTGGTTTTATCCATATGATGGGCATCAGGTCAAACAAAAGTTTGGGGTGTTGTTCAGCAAGCAGTCCACTGCAAAGAGAAATCGAAGGACATTGTTAGTAATTTCTGAAATTTGCTCATTAGAACGAGATTGCTAATTGGACATTGGCCTTCAATATAAGAGAGGACCAGAGAAACAAAAAATTATTCTATTTATATAGAGAAGAGGAAGAATGGAAAGGGGAAGAGTAAAGGGAGAAGGCGGAGGCTATGAAGAGTTGAGAGAAACAAATGAAGATTATGGAAAGACAGTGTAAAACAGTGAACACATATCAACATCTGCCAGTTTTTATGCTCATGAAGTAGACACTGTGGTTCCGCATTCCACCCTCACAATGATCATGTCAACTCTCAGTCCACTGACAGAGTATGAGCTCAAAGACTCTGAATAATCTTTTCAGGGTCAAGATTCAAGTATAAACTGGGCATGTCGGCTCACTGCGTCAGCTCAGTACAAGAGAAGCTGAGCCAGCAGACTACTGTGAGTCCAGAGTGAGACTCTGACAAACAAGATCAAACAAAATAAAGTTAAAAAAGTCTGTCTCTCTAGAGAATCTGTTTTGTTAGGAAGAAAGGAAAACTAGGTAATAAAAGAAGGCAAAAGAAGAAAAAAGGAATAAATTGAGGAGGTGGTAAGAGCAGCCATGGTGGTACACGTGAGTGGGACAGTGCTGAAGAGGACGAGGTGGGGGACAGTTCACTGAAGCCTAGCTTGAACTACTTTTGTGAGGACTGTTACTCAGAAGCATGAGTAGTTTGCCTAGCATGAGTAAGGCCTTGGGTTCAAGTCACAGAACACACACACACACACACACACACACAAACAAACGACAGAAGAAAGATGGAGAGAAATGAAGTCTATATAGCTGGTTATGGTAGTTTGAGTTTGGAGATGCAGTTTGGAATTTGCCCAGTTTGTTTTAGATCTTGTTTTGGCTCAGTATTTTCCTCATTGGGCTCCCTTCCTACTTTGGAATAATAATGTATATCCTGTGCCTTTGTACGTTGGAAGTATGCTCATTGATTTTGTAGGGGTTTAAACTTAAGAGATTGCCATGAATCTCAGAAGAGACTTTGAGCTGTGGACTTTTAAACAGTGTTGAGACTGTGATAGCCTATGGGGATTTTTGATGTTGGACTGAAGGCATTTTGCATTATGATATGGCTACAAGCCCACAGAGGCCAGGGAGTGGACCGGGCCTCGCCATGACCTTGTCTTGAAATTATCTTTGTGCCTAGGCATGGTGGCACACGCCTTTAATCCCAGCACTCAAGGAGGCAGAGGTAGGCAGATCTCTGTGAGTTTGAGGCCAGCATGGTCTACAAAGTGAGTCCAGCACAGCCAAGGCAACACAGAGAAACCCTGTCCTGAAAAAAGAAAATTATCTTTGTAGAATTACTCCCTCGTCAGTGATTTCTCCTACCTTCGTCTTTCACATGCTTGGGAGCAAAGTCCAACCCTGCCTTTGAAGATAGATAGTTTTTGGACCAGGAAACTATCTTTACCAGGAAAAGCTTAGTAGTTTCCTTTTATCTTCCTAAAAACAAAGCTGGAAATCTTTCTCTTTCTCACACAAACCCACACACATACAATACACACACAATCAAATGTAAACAGAAGATTTCCATTCGCTAGATGGGAACTTTGTTAAACTGTCAGTTGTTTAAACTCTATTCAGTCCTACACGTTACAAGATGGAAGGGAGCTGTTATCAAGTAGAAGCAAAAAACAATAATAATTTTGGCTAACTTTTCTACTAATGAGACCACTAGAATATCTGCAAAAATTCTTAGGTACTAAAAAACAAAAAAATCACTCAACTGTCCCAGCTTGAACAATGAACAACTTGTGTAAGGATTCTGCTAATATATTACTCCTCATAGAAGAGCTCCTTTGGTTTGAAAGAAGACGGGAGAGCATCTATCTAGCTATGATTAATCTACAGCAACAGAGGGTTTCACATTCAAAGTACTGACGTGTTCCTGTTCCATCGTGCTCCATCAAGATATAACCCGTGAATATAAACACCATCTTCTGGTGAATTGTTAGCGATATCAGAAGAAATCACCTGGAGAGAGAGACCCACTCTATTAATGTTGCTCACCACAGACCTTCATCTCATGGAGAAATCTCTGCCAAATGATAAGAAACACTAATATAAAAACTTGTTAGACTATAAAGTTTTTCAGCCGTAACCTACAAAAGTATGTATAGCTATTGGTTTGCGTATGCATGTGTATGCACACTCTGGCAGATGCATGCATGTGTGTGTGGAGGCTAGAGGTGAGCTTTGGGTGTCATTCTTTCAGAAGGGTCCATCTTAGTTGACTGGACAGTGAACCCCAGGAATGACCTGTCACCTCTCCAGCACTGGGATTAGAGGTGCTTGTCACCTGCCCAGCATTTTCACACAGGTTCTGGGAGCAGAACTCAGGTCCCCATGCTTCTGTGGCAAGCATTTTACTCACTGAGCGACCTATCCAGCCTTGGAGAGTTATTTTGAAGGGTTTTATCAAGTTTTACTGTACCTCACATTAATTTTTATCAATGTAAGAACAATACTGGATTATTTGTATCAAATATTGAGATTATGAAAGTTCTAGATATAACAAGACAAAATACATACTTTATAAAACACAATGAAAAGAACAGTAATTTAATTTGATTATATGGGGCCGTAATATGTAAAATTTGCATATTCTTCTTGCTTAAATATACGGCTGATTTAATATCATACTGTTGATTTAAAGGCGTGACCTTTTATACCTCAAATTCGTAGCCTAGTAAATCAATAGGGATGGTGTATTTTCTGGCATAATTCTGCATAGCTCCAGTTAAAAAGGCTTGGGTGAAAAAGAAACCAGAGATCCAAAACACATCTGGTTTCCCCATAACGAACCACTCCTGTAAAGGGAAGCAAAACACATTTTTACAAGTGTCACTGTACACACAAGCCATGATTTTGATTTTCATCTACGTTGCCTGCACTCTCCATCATGAGACTGTCCCTGCTATCAAATGCTCTTCCCCCTTTCTTCTCCTAGTTATTCTTCCTGGAAATTCAACATGGTCTCAGCACTGATCTGAGTGAACTGAATTTGAAAGAGTCAAATCTCCTGCAAAAAGGCCAAATGTAATTATATTGCTCAGCCCAATGAAGCGCCACCATCTTAAGAAATTTTCCCCACCCACTAAAGCTGTAGCCGGTGCTATCTGGACCTTGAGCTCTGGTAACCCCTTGTCTGTGGGATCAGGGGTTCTCCATCTTTTTTTTCTGCACAGTCCTCCCACTCGTGTCTACTCAATAGCTGACCAATGTCACTGAAACACACCTGACCATGCGTAGTTTGGACCAGATTTGTCGTCTTGCATAACTGCTCAACCACCCAGCAAAGTAAAACCAAACCTCCTAGCCTCCTAGTCAGGATCCTTTATGATCTGGCCCCAGCATGTATTTTACAGTGTGCCCTTTACTTTCAGGAATTCTTTAATTAGCCAGGACTACGTGGCGGCCCTGTCAGTGTGAAGTAGGCCCTATTTCTCAGCCTCTGAGAAGGGAATACTGCCCTTCTTTCGTAGCCCCTGCACTTCAGTCCAGCCTTGCGGGGCTGTACAACCATATGTACCTCCTGAAGTGGGGCATGTGATCACTATCGGGCCAATCGTAAAGTCATGGCACCAAGTAATACAGCGTAAGCAAAGATGCGGAAGCACTTGCTACAACTCTTGGGAAACACCCCATTCTGAAAGTGTGCCTGTAACTCTATCCACAGTGTACCTTTGTGCAAACATAAACCGTGAGATGAGAAAGCAGAGGAGCCATGAAAGAAAACAAGTTTGTTGCCTTATTCTTTCCTGTGCCCTGAACATCCTTGTGTATGGGAACACACATGTGAGCACATGTGTATGTACCTGTATCCACACATGTTGGGTGACCGCTGGGAAGGGAGAGTCAAGGACCCATTTTTGAGAGCATAGAAAACAAAGCTCTGATTTTTTTTTTAAAAGATATATTACGAATACAATGTTCTGCCTGCATGTACGCCTGCACGCCAGAAGAGGGCACCAGATCTCATTATAGACAGTTGTGAGCCACTATGTAGTCGCTGGGAATTGAACTCAGGTCCTCTGGAAGAGCAGCCAGTGCTCTTAACCTCTGAGCCATCTCTCCAGTCCCCCCAAGCTCTGATTTTTAAGACAAAGGACAAATATTGATAAATCTAAGTTTTGGGCCCTTTTATAACTTCCTTTGTGTATTAAAATCACAAGATAACATTAAACAGCAGTGTCTGGGAATCACAGACTTAGAACTTTCATAAATATAACTATCACTTGAGTTCGACTAAAGTATAATTTCTATTTTCTACTTAGTATTTCAAAAAGTGTGCATTTTATAATATTCATACTTTGGTTAGATAACCAGGAAACTACTAATCACATTCCATTCAACCTGGGGACATTAAAATGATCACAGTTGATTACTAATATCTCTCCATTCAATGGTGACAAGTATATATTGTGCTTGTAATTTCTGGCAATATTTGGATGAGTAATTTTTCACTTGAATAATATATATTTTAGGTATAAAATTATCTATCTATCTATCTATCCATCCATTTGTCTACCTATCACCTGTCTACCTAATATTTTACCTCTAAAAAGTTCAGCCGTGCTAGGAAATCTGTGATGTAACTTCCAAGGGGCTTCAGACTTGGGTAGGATCGCGCTGCCCATGCTTCTGGGACCTTCCCAATAAGCAAGCTGCTTGAAAGTGCTTCCAGCGCAGAGTCCATCACAACTACCCCTTTAATAGCCTTCTTAAGGTCCCGGAGGGTGTTACGGATAGTTCTAATTAAGCTGAAATCAAAGAAACCATGTTATCAACATGTATTTCATAGTAAACATCAATGTACAATCTGCAAAAGAGAAGATGGCAGGAAACAGTCACAGCCTCTTTGTAGGCCTGTTTCCCAAAGCATGGCTGTGCCCACTTGATAGATAGTGTGTGAAGTAAGTGTAGGTACCATTTGTAGGTATTTTTTCATTTTAGCCATTACATACTTTCTTTTTTTTAAAAGATAGGGTCTTACTAGGTAATCCTGGATGACCAGGAACTGGCTATGTAGACCAGACTGGCCTTGAACTCACAGAGATGCTCCTGTCTCAGCTTCCTGAATATTGGGATTAAAGGTGTGCACAGCCACAAGTGGTATACTGTTTTAAAATATAGAATAATACAAGTAGCATATCAATTTATTATTATTTGATGTTAGTATAAAATAATACCACATTTTCTTCTGGCTATTACTTCCGAGGACTTAGATAACTTTAAAGATTACATATTGATAAATTGTAAATGTATATGTTTATGGAATATAAGGTGGTTTTATAATTTTCAATACAATTAGAAAATCATATTAAACATGTCACTGCAAATATATCCTATTTTGCCATGAGGACACTGGAAACTTATATTTCTATGGCACTGAAATGTAACACGTGCAGAATTATTATCCATATCAGGCACACTGTGGGACTAATGTGACAAAGCAAGCCTCCCCCTTCTGTCTAGCCGAGACTTCACACACCCTGACTCCCAGCCCCAAATCCTCCCATCTCCCAGGGTTGGATAACCACTATCCCACTCTGCTCAGATAAGATTAGTTGTTCGCAAAAATGAGAACGTGCAGTATTCGTCGTTCTAGGTTTGACTTATTTCACTTAGCGAATAGTCCTCAATTCCATCACTGTTGTTACAAATGACAGAATTTCTCCCTTTTTAGAAATAAATCCTATTGTGTGGATGTAACGCATGGATACAAGTTGATTCTGTAACACAGTAATTGCGGATAGGAATGCAGTGAGCATAGGAGTAGGAGTAGACATCTTTTTGACAAAGTGATTGAAAATCTTTGGGAAAATACTCAAAACTGGGACTGCTGGGTGGCATGGTAATATTTTTTGTACCTTTCTGAGGACCCTCCATGCTGTTTTCACATAATGACTGTCCTAGTTTCTTTTTCGCTGGCCATCTTCATGAGAATGAGGGATGGCTCTTATGATTTTCATTTGCATCCTTCCTAGGTGCTAGTATTGGCCTTTATTCTAAGATTTGGCCTTTGGATATGGTCTGTGAGAATGTTCAAGCCTCTTGCCCATCGATTAATCATAATATTTGTTTTATTTCTGTAAGTTGTATGAGTTCTTTATGTATTTTATATATCTCTCATCACATGATTGTTTCCTTTGATCAGAGAATCTTTGTATTTTGAGGTTATTCTACTTGTCTGTATTTGCCCTGGAGGGTGGGGGTCAGATCTTACAGAAAAAAATCACTGTGCTGATCAAAGTTATATAATATTCTTTCACGCTTTCTTTCAGCAGTTTATAGTCTCCGGTCTTTGGTGAGGAGAAGCGAGCCCAGGGCCTTATGCACGCCAGGAACGCAGTCTCTCGTTTCGGCACACCCTCAGCACACACACACACACACACACACACAGGTGTGGGTTAGGCTTCAGCTGTTTGGAGTCGGCTCTGCATGTGGCATGACATAGGCCTTTCGCCCTGTGCACATCCGGTGTCCCCAGCACCGCTCATGACAAGAGAGTAGCTCCTCCCTTGTGCATCACTGGCAGCACTGTCAAACATCAGTTGATTACAGACGCACGTTTTCCATTCTCTCTCTTCTGTTCCACTGGTTAATGCTGTTTCAGTTACTACCATTTTTTTTTTTTTTTTACTATACTTTGAGTTTAGGTAGTGTGATGTCTCCAGCTTTGCTCTTTTTGCTGGTAACTACATTAGATATTTGTGATACTTTCTGATTCTTTATGAATTATATGAATTCTAGGATTGTTTTTCCTATAGCTATAAGATATCACATTTGAACCTTCATAAGGGTTTTTTTTTTAATTTATTTTTGGAGGACCCAAGTTATGTAAGCAAAGAATCACCCAAGGGAAAATATTAGGTAATGACATTACAGGTACCGTGCAAATACAGGCAAAGTTGAAAAAAGGTGTGCAAACAGGACATGGTGGCATACAAATTGTATACTAGTGATTTAGACAGGGTTTCTTTGTGTTTGGGGCCAGCTTCGGCTATATAGTGAGTTCAAGGACAGTCTTGCTATATAGCAAGATTTTTTTTTTCACAAAAACAAAACAAAAAAGTGTTATATAATGGCTGAAAATAGAAACCCTGTATCAAAGCATAAAGTACATATTGATTTTCAAACACTTTTCTACTTACACTTAACTGCTGAAAATACCATAAACACACCTGGAATGGATGACGAGGCCCAACTAGCTGAGAGATTGCATATTATTATATATATAGTAAAAATACTGAATTATGGTTGCAGATGTAGCTCAATGGCAGTGCATCTGCCTAGCATCGATGAGGCCCTAGGTTCCAATCTCCAGCGCCACAAAACAAAGAGGCAATCAAACAAGCCCCCAAAAGATCCCAGAGTTAAAGAGAGCAACGTGGCATTTTAATATAGTTTCCTTTTTTGTTTGTTTTGCTTTTTTTTTTTTTTTTTTTCAAGACAGGTTTCTATGTATAGCCCTGGCTGTCCAGGAACTCTCTTTATAGTCTCAAACTTACAGAGATCTTCCTGCCTCTGCCTCCTGAATGCTGGGATTGAAGGAGTATGCCACCATGCCCAGCCTTATAGTTTACTTTAATATATCAGCAAGTCCAGAAAACAAAATAAATATGAAAATATTACAGGAAACTCATAACAAAAATAACTTTCTATTTCTTGGTCCAATATTGAATTACAAGAAATTCAATAAAAGTCGTAGTAAGTAATTTGTTTATCGTAGGAGATGTAATCAACTTCAGGAAGAAAAGGGAGCCAGGCACAGCAGTGCACACCTGTAATTCAGCACCCCCAGAGGTGGAGGTGGCAGGTTTATGAGGTCAAGGCCAGCGAGAACTTCATAGCAGGTTTGAGATCAGCTTGGGCTATATTCTGTCCCAAAAACCAGCCAACAAATAAACAAGATCGGGTCTAAAGGTTAGTTGATGGTTAACCTGGGCCGCAGCACTTAAAAATAAAGAGAAAGGAAGCATATATCAGGGTCAGAAACCGCTGAAAGGGCATATAGACCCAGCCGAGCCTCACTCTGTCCTTCTTTTTAAAACGATCTGTCTTTTTAATCATGTGTGTGCTTGGGTATCCGCGTATGGGAACAGCTGCCAGTGGAGCAAGAGGAGGGAGTTGGCAACCATGGAGCTGGAGCTACAGGTGGTTGTGAGCTGCCTGATGAGACTGCTAGGAGCCAGGCCCAGTGCTCGTAGCCACCGGGCCGTCTCTTCAGCCCTGTCTTTACTTTGTGAAGAGGACAGTAACAGATGAGAAGTCACATGAATAATGACTATTTATAATCAGTAAGAATAGATATTTTTCATCATCATTTTTACATTATAAAAAAGTTTCTCCTGAAGCAAAAGGCTATGGTACTTTACAAAATAAATGGGGCATTTTAAAATCAACACTGACATGTCATTTTGTCAGCTTCGGCTGGTTGCTTCCTGAACTCCTGGGGATTTACTCACTTGTTAAACCGTTCCATTTCTTGCACTAACACAGTATTCATGCTCTCCTCATATCTCACAGGGTAACTAATCAGTGCTGCCTCAATGTCAAAGTCATCTGGGAGCTGAAAGAACAGATGTTGAAAATCACAAGTGACTCTCAGAAGAGACAATGAGTTTCATTCAGTCATCATGTCAATAATGGCTAACACATAGGCAGCAATCATTATTTCCACTTCACAGACAAGGACATTGGGTTTCTGAAAAGCTCTGTAGTTCCCTTTTGTAAACTAAGTCTTGTTTTCCACTACCAATAAAAGGTACTTACAATTTTGTAACTTTTTATGTTCACTCATAATCAATTATCACTGGCTAAGTTACTCTCCTGTCAAGTAGTCAATCTTGTAAATGTAGAAATGTTCTCGGGCATAGGGAAAGAGAAAGATGTGATTTCTAGGCAATACTAACAGACACTCGGGGTGAAAAGATGATAAGGGCTTTGGAATGCTGACAAGTCCTAAGGCATTGAAGTGCACACCCCTGAGGTGGCAAAGGAGTCCCCATTCAGGGAAGGGCTGAACTGAGGGTCACACTGCCCTCCCTGCTCCAGTGTGGTTCTAAAAGAGTCTAAGCGCTGTCCCTCAAGTGATTTTGACTCTGTGAGCCTCCTTTAGCTCCAATAAATCTTCTGCCAGGCCCTTGTTGGGGATCTCATTGGAGATAGCATTCATGAAATCAGCATCCTTCCCCCACAGAGCTAAGCCATGGAAGCAGGTGTGGAGAGGCAGGCTGCAGAACAGCAGCTTGGAGGCCAGGCCTGGCTGTCGGCCTCCGTCACGGCAGCCATTGGTGCCACCCCCACCCCCCCGCTTTACTGAGCGCAGCCAGGGTGACAGTGGATCCGGCAGTGGCGCAGCCTGTGGGCTCCAGAGGCCAGATTCTGCTCTGTCAGGGTGTCTGCTGCTAAAGCATGGGCATATTTACAGTACTTGTATCAGAAGGGAACTATAAAGATTGCTGTTGAGGATCAGAATCTGTTCAAATTTCCCTTAGTCACTCTCTATTGAATTTAGACACAGAAAAAGATGATAATACAGCTTTGTTCTGCATTACCTAGTAGGCTAAGTACACTGGGCTATACCATGGGAAGGGAATGCATAGCTGCTGGCTGAGTTCTGGTAGTCACCCCCTGTGACTCCCCCCGCCTTGAACCAGCAAGTTCACAACATTCCGTTTTTAAAAAGCCTTCTACGTTTTATTTAGAAATAAAAATAAATCATATGCACATTAGTTCATCCATAACTACTGTTACTAGGAACTTAGCTATGTAGTAGGCATTTTACAAACTACTTGACATTAATGTTGTCCTTAATGTCCTCAAAAAGCTTTATAACAATTGAAACTATTCTCAGCACCTAGCGGAATTGGAAATGAGAGTATGCTAAGTAAAGCATCTTGCTAAAGGTTATAATGCTGTTTCATGGACTTTCCAATCAGATTCAGTTGCTCTTATGGCCTGAGCACCACACTGTAAGCCAAGTATTACCTCCTCGAGGATGTCTTCGGTGATCTCTAACAGGACCTGGTCAGTGCTTCCTGAGGAGCCTGTCTGTTTGGAGCCTCCTTGGGTGAGGAGCAAGGACTCAAAAAGGATTTTTGTTTGTTGAAGATCTTTGGAAATATCAACATTTTCATGTAATCCGAATATCTCGGGTTCTTGAGTAAATGGAAGTTTCTATTAGAAAACATATTAAGCACGTATCAAAAATTCACTGGGATCAGGATGCACCACTTCAAAATACAGCACTTAGCAGAACCAGTTTGAGCTAACGGCGATTTAGTATGGACAGGGTTAGAGTTTGTGCCCTCCCTTCGTCTGCCTAACAACAGAGCACAAGTTTCCACTTGTGCTGTGCCAAGGAGAGAAGACAGTGTCTTCTTAACTAGAGACAGAAAGCCGTTCTAGGGGAACCTGCCCAGATCTCAGCAAGATAACTTTATCCTCCATTAGTTTCCTCCATCTGTTCCTAATCACTTTCTCACAGTTTATGGCCCTGTAAGGTCCACGGCTTTTCCTCTGTTTTATCAGTTCTCCACAGTCGCCATGTTTTAAAGTGGCTTTATGAACTCCAAAGCAAACTGCTTCTTTTGGGTCTCAGTCCTTTCACTGAAGCTTCTGTCTACATAAAATATTAACATTAATACAAATTATATGCTTTTTCTCATTTTAAGCCCAAAAGCTTCAGATTTTCTGATGTCCAGTAATTACTCAAACAAAAACGAGTCTGAAAGTTTATTAAAATCTTTCTTGACTAAACTTGTACATTAGAGGGTACAGCTCATCATTCACTTAACACACACAGACACAGATCCAGACACACATGCATACATACACACACACACACACTGCACACATGCCACACACATAAACAGACACACACACACACACACACAGACACATATACACCACACACCACATCACACATGCACACATATACCACACACACACACACACACACACACACACACACACGCGCGCGCGCGCGCACTGACACACACCCTCTCAGATACATACAGATACACACAGATGCACACATACACACAGACACACAGACACACACACAGACACCTGTCTTGCCCTGGCTTCAGAACACCATTTACCTTAATGAATTCAATGTAGTCCTCATAAGAACCTCTGGGTGGCGCGTAATAGTTCCCACTGGGAGAAAACTTGTAATGGGGGTTTTCAATGATGGATGGGTTATAAAAGTCAGCCAGCATGGTTAGCAGGAGGCGTCTGTCCCAGTCATCTGTTACTCTTCCTCCGTAGTTACACTCCCCAGTCAGGTAAGAGATAGCTTCAAATGGGATTATGTCATATTCATTTATAAACAACTGAAGCAAAGACAAAAGTGAAAAAAGAAAAATTTTAATTCACTTATTTCATTTTTACTTTAAAATGGCAAGTTCTTTTCCTTCCCTACCTATGCAGAAAGAGGGTTGGAAGAATGATTATCGGGGTTTCTGGTGTTCAGTATTTTGTTTTGAATTACTTTGTCTCCATTCTCCGTTTTTTTCTGATATAAATACATCGCTATTTATTTTCTCACTCTTACTCTCTAGTCCAGACGGCTTCAGACTAATGCCAATAGGCCTGCTTCAGCCTCCCAGGCGCTGGGATGAAAGAGTGAGCCACCATGCCTGGCTCACATGCAGATTGTGTGTGATGCGCACACACTTCAGTGCGTGTATGTGGAGTCCAGGTCAGGACACTAAGTGTCTCTGTCTCTTTCCCTTACTGCCTTGAAATCCAGTCTCCTTGAACTGCAAGCTTGCCTCTTTGGTTAGGCTGCCTGGCCATACACTCCAGGGATTAGCCTGTCTCTGGCCCCTAATGCCGAGTTACAGGCATGAAGGTAAGTGCTGGAGATTGTAAAAGTGCTCTTTCCTACTGAGCCACCCTCCAGCCCTCAGAAAACTCTTTTCCTTTAAAAATCACATGTGACTGATGATGATGATGGTATGTGTGTGGGATGAGAACACGTGAGTGTGGGTGCTCCCAGACTGACATGGGGTCCCCTACAGGTGAAGTCACAGGCGGTTGTGAACTACCCAGCACGGGTTCTGGGAACTGAACTCAGGTCCTCGGCAAGAGAAGTATGTGTTCTTAGCCCCGGGGCCCTCTCTCCAGTCCTCATAATGGTTTTTTAAATGAGAAAAACTTAAATAGACGACATGGAAATCGCTAAAGCCTTTAAATATGGATCCCCATAATAAACTGTTTCTTTTCATGAACTAGGGTCCACTTTATCCGTGAGGGGATACTCTGCAATGACTAGAGATCAGTAAATTCGAATTGTGGTGGCTGAGAGGTGCTACTGGCATCTCTTGGGTATAGGGATGGGATGCGGTTAATGCACAGGACAACTGCCCAGACATTAACAGTGCCAATGCTGAGGACCTGATGCCTGTTTTAGGTCACCTTTCATGATGAGAGAAAAACAAGGTAATTGAAGTTTCAGGGCTGGGTCCTTGTTCCCATGGTGACATGATTTCAGTACACGAGCGTTGAAAGGACCCTGAATGACTGGGAGGGTTATTCTTTGAGGGAATGAATTATGTGATATACGAAAAAGTCTTCCCTTCCTTCTGTTTGTGGGAGGGCAAATACATGTTCTACTGGGTCTCTCCAAAACTGGAAGAGACCCCAAAAGAACTGAATGTTCCATCTGTACCATGTGCAAGAAATGAAGACAACTCTCTCCCTGTTGAGTACCCACTTAGCTGTCAGTTTTCTGCTTTGGCCTTTTGGAAAGAGCTATTGTGCAGTATGACCAGATGAGGATGGTTTAAAGACGAATCTCCTTCCATGTCCCCACCGCCTACAGGTATGAGAGCTGGATCTAGCTGATGTCTGTGGATTTCAGTGCCGGTGCTGGGAAGGTTGAGGGCAGGAGACCACCATCTTGGGCCTGGAAGATGGCGAGTTCTCAGTTGGTCGCTTACAGGTTATATGGCAAATATTTTAAATAAAATGTTCTCTGTATCTATTACTAGTTCCAGAAACAATGTTTAAATCAAAGTCATTCAACATATATTATAGTTTGTAAGCACTGATTCCAGCAACTAAACAGATTTTCAAGTTGAAGGACTTTTTTTTCAGTTAAGGTTTCTCATTTATTATTTTTTTCATTCATTATTTTAAAAAGATTATCTTTAACTCTTTTTTCCCCTTCAGCACTGAGGATCAAACTTGGGGCCTCATGAATATTAGGCAAGTACTCTACTACTGAGTCATATCTCCAGCTAAGTATCAATAATCTCCATTAAAATAACCTGTTATCTTTATTATAAAGTTTGGCACAAACACCATATAATGTATCCTAGGGGATGTTAAACAGTGATCTTTCATAAGTGCTTGTTCTGTTCTCATTTTACCTGCAGTTGCCGAATACTGATGCGTAGATCTGACTCATTAAATCCATATGGAATATTCCAACCCAGAGGACCGAATTTCTTTCTCTCTTGAACAAGGGCATGAAAAAAACAAACTCCAAAAAGCAACTTCTCCCATACCTTTAAGGCAAAAATTTTACAAGCGAAAAATCTTATTAGATTTCTATTAGTAAAACTAGAAAAACAGATAATCTATTTATCACAAGGTTCTATGGCCAGCTATCATTACACACTTCTATCTTAAAAAGGCATGTACCTAAAGACATTCTTTCTATAGAAAGCATTCATCCTATGCTTAATTCACATATCCAAAGCTAAGAAAACATAATATTAAGTGTTACTAAATGAAAATTATTACTACTCTATAAATTGTTGGTTCATGGTGCCTGTCATTCATAGATCTCTCTAATCCCAGCCCTTAGTATTATCTTATAGATTTGTGGGCATGTACTTGAGACTATACGTGCAAAAGAATGACTAATGAAGAGAATATCAATAAATTCCAGTATATGATTCCCAACTTTGTTACTTTTCATTTGGCAGTAGTAAAAGCATTTTTAGTTGATTTATCCATGACATCTTCTAGTGTTTAACATGGATGCCTTGTATGTCTCCTGTATCAGGGCCTTGGAGGATGACACCCATTTCTTTAGAGCTCTCACAATAGATTGCAAGTATATTAATGACAAATACATATGTCACATATATATGCTATATATTCATATACATACATTTATGAGCATGCCTTGCACCTAGTAGGTATTCAGTAAATACTTATTGAACAGAGATCACATCCTTTATAGAGACTATAACTCAGCATAGATGATGTAGAAACTGAAAAGCAATTGATATCATTGTTAAATGGCTAAGATATCAACAATTTATAATAAAAGATCGTATATCCTTTCAGTGGCCAAATGATGATAACTCAAATTATTGTTGGCTCAATTGTTAGAAATTACCAAAAGTATGCCAACTATTTCTGGGAGCCACATATAAAGAGTTTTATACGTGACTATGAATTAGTCACCTGAAAAAATGTTAGAACAGTGGTTTCCAAAGTATGAGCCCCAGAATCAGCAGCAGCAATTTCACCTGAGAGTAAGGACTGTATATTCTTAAGCCTCCTCCTAGATCTAATAAGTTAGGAACTCTGAGGGGTCGGGCTCAGTGAGGTCTGTTGAACAAGCCCTCTAGGAAAATCTATGGCACAGTGAGAACAAATATAGGGCGTTTACTCTCTGTGAGGGTCAGTTTTTGTCAACTTGACACAGACTGGAATTCCTGGAATCACCCAGAAAGTTAAAAAAACAGCTTCCATCAGATCGGTCTGTGAGCATGTCGAGGCATTCTCTTCATTGCTGATTGGTGTAGGAGGACCCAGCCCACGGTGGGCGGCACCATTCCTAGGCAGATGGGCCTGGGTTATGTAAGAAAGGGAGCTGAGCAAGCCAGCAAGCAGCTTTCCTCCTAGTTCCTGTCTTTGCTACTCCTTGAATTCCTGCCCTCATGTTCTTCAACGATAGGCTGTCATCAATTCATGTAAGCCAATCTTTTCTCCGTGGGTCGGTTGGGCTCATTGTTTTCTCACAGAAACAGAAAGTAAAACAGGGTATACTTTTATTTGACCTATCATCTATTTGTTTTTGCTTCCAGAGAAGTTGCTTGGTGAAGGTCACCACTGTTAACCACAAAACTAGGATACATGGCATGGAGACTAACTTTGGATCTCACAGACAACAACGATGGGTCCCAGTAATGCTTGATCCATGTTGTAATACCGAAAGGGTGAGGGGGTTTCTTCTCCAATACAGCACCCGTTTTATTTGAGTAACCTGAGCCCCAAATTAGCTCTGTTTGTGATTTTCTGTCTCTGTACCTTTTTCCTCTGATTGTGGGGCCCCAAACACCATGCAGCTTTCTCTCTTCTGCTAAGCTCTCTTCTAAAACCCTAAAGAATCTTCTCAGTATCACAAAGTGATTGTGCACAAGTAGGGAATAGAAATCATCATTTAGCAGAGAAAGTAGTCTTTGAACCATTCAGTCCTTTGTCTTACCCTCAATATTATTCTTTTTTGGCTTAATATAAAATAGTTAATGTTGGAACCAGGTATGATGGCACATATCTATGGCACATATGCAGCACTTGGGAGTCAACAGGACTGCTGTGAGTTTGGGATTAGTCAAACCCTGACTCAAAATGTTTTGGAGAGTCTGCAGAGATGGCTCTTGCTGGGAAAGCAAGTGCAAATCTGCCGTACCAATGTAAAAGCCATGTGGTAGTGTGCCTGTAACTCCAGAGTTGGGGCTAGAGACATGCGAGTCCTAGCCAGCCTAGGCAGAAGGGCAAGCTTTAGAGTCAGTGGGACCCTGCTTAAAAAAAACTAAGGTAAAGATCAGTAGAGGAAGACAGCCAATATCAATAAAGTTGTGGTTTTGTCTTTGCTATGTATTTGCTTTTTTGTGAGATTCTTGGTTTTAAAGAATTCAGACAGGGAAAATGAGTGTTATGCTGGGTCACCTAAGGTCTTCAACACCACGTGCAAAGCTGTGTACTTATTTACTTAGAGGTTATTATGCTTTACAGTTTTTATTGACATTTTCCTTTGTATTCATGACATCAATACACAGTGTTACATTTCATGAAGAAAATTTGTTTCAAATATATCATGTACTTTAATCATACTTATTTCCCTAGTCTCCCTACTATGTTTATATGGTGTGTGTGTGATTAATTCCAAGACCTGCAAATAAAAGAAAATATGTGATATTTGTCATTGTGTGTCTGGCTTGTTTTGCTTAGTATGATAATCTCCCTTGTATCCGCTTTTGGTGGATACTCAAGAGAATTCTATAGCCTGGCTGTTGTGAATGGTGCTACAGTAAACAGCCATATGAATGCTCCTGTGGTGTATTGCTTTAGAACCCTTTGAATAGTATGCTCACTAGTCTTCTGTCAAGCTAGAGTCACCAGAGAGGAGGGAGCCTTGATTGAGAAAACGCTTCCATAAGATCTGGCTGCAAGTGAGCCTGTGGCTAAGTTTCTTAATTAGTGATTGCTGAGGGAGGGCCCGGCCTGCTGTGGGTGGGGCCATCCCTAGTTTTGTAGTCCTGGGTTCAGGACAAGCAAGCCACAGAGAACAAGCCAGTAGGCAGCACCCCTCCACAGATCCGCATCAGCTCCTGCCTCCAGGTTCCCTATTTGAGTTCCTGTCCTGGCTTCCTTCCATGATGGGCTACAACTCATATGTGTAAGCCAAATAGACCCTTTCCTCCCCAACTTGCTTTTGGTCATGGTGTTTCATTACCACAACAGTAACCCTGACTAAGAAAGAAATTTATCCAGAAGTGGCTCAGCTAGGTCACACAGTAGTTCTCGATTTAGTTGTTTGAGTTATCTCCATACTAACTCTGAAGTGGCTGGACCAATTTGCATTTCTCCAAGCAGAGTGTAAGGGTTCCCTTTCATCCACATCCTCACTAGGACTTTGATGTCCTCTTGGATAGTCATTCTGGTAGGGATAAGATAAAATTTCTATGTGGTTTAGTTTGCCTTTCCCTGGATGGTTAGGAAGTTGAGCATCCCCATGAGTTTACTGGCTGTGTGTACTTCAGCTGCTGAGCACTTTGTACGCTTTCAGTAGCCCACTTACTGGCTGGGTTAGGTTTACTATTTATTTTTAAAATTTCACGGCATGTCTCCATTGCCATGGTGCTGTGTACATGAAGGCATTTTCATGCAAGTGTATATTGTACACTGAGCACATTGCCTTTGCGCCTCCGTATTCTCTTTCTCATCATCCTCTGTGGCTCATTATTTTTTTTATTTTCCTAGATAGCGTTGCTTCTACCTTGATATAATACACATATATGATTTCTTATATAAAATAGAGAGAAACACATTAGAGACTTTTTTGAGTTGGCTTAATTCAGTTAACATGTTTACATCCTTTGTACTTATTTTCCTGCAAATGGCACAACTTCACTTTCTTCATGGCTGAAAAGCCCATTTTGTTTATGTACTGTAGCTCCGCAACTTAGCTCCTCTGAATACTGCTGCAATAAATGTTTGTGTGAGGTGTCTCTGCGATGTGTTGACATGGAGCCCTCTGAATAAAGATCCACACATGTATGGTAGATCCATTTTTAGTTTTCCAAAGAGAAGATTTTTGAATTTTATTTCATGTATCATGTATGTGTCTGCTTTCTTGTATATGCACGTGTGCACACAGTGCCTGTGAGGATCAGACGAGGACAGAGGCTCCCCTGGAGCTGGCCTTACATATGGTTGTGAGACATGTAGGTGACTGAGCCGTCTCCCCAGCCTCCTGTTTGTTTGTAAATGACTGTCAATCTCACTTGGGTAAAGGCACTCTCAATGGAGGCTGAGCATTTTTCTTCTGTTTATTGAATGTTTGTATTTCATTCTTTGAGACTGTTCATTTCATAGTCTTATTTAGTGACTGAGTTGTTTAATTTCATGTTGAGTTTTTAAAGTTCTTTGTATGTTCTAGATATTCATTCTCTGTCAGATATATAGTTAGCAAAGATTTTCTCCAACTCTAGTCTGTCTCTTCAATAACTGTTTCCTTTGCTATGCAGAAGGCTTTTAATTTCATAATGTTTGAATCTTACTTCTTAATTGCTGACATTATTTCCTGAGTTACTGGAGTCCTATTTGGAAGTTTCTTGCCTGTGCCCATTTCTTTCTTTCTTTTTTTTTTTTTTTTCATTTTGCTTTTTTATTTTATTTTTAATTTTTATTTTTTTAATATTAGTTACAGTTTGTTAACTTTGTATCCCGTTCCCTCTTTCCTTCCCAATCCCACCGTCCCACCCTCATCTCCTCCCTGCCCTTTTCCAAGTCCACTGATAGGGGAGAACCTCCTCCCTTTTCATCTGACCCTGGTTTATCAGGTGTCTTCAGGATTGGCTGCAAAGTCCTCCTCTGTGGCCTAGCAGGGCTGCTCCTCCCCCAGGGGTGGGGGGAGGAAGTCAAAGAGTCCACCTTTGAGTTCATGTCAGAAACAGTCCCTGTTCCCCCTATTAGAGTACCCACTTCTGTGCCCATTTCTTATAATGTTTTCCCTACCTTTTTTCTCTGAGATTCTCAGTTTCAGGTCTTAAAATTTTTGATTCATTTGGAGTTGACTTTTGTGCAGGGTGAGAAGTGGGATCTAGTTTCACTCTAATGTGGTTTTCCCAATACCACTTGCTGGACAAGGTTTTATTCTGTAGCCCAGGCTAGCCTACAACTGCTTACATAATACAGTCTGGCCTCAAACTTGTAGCAATCCGCTTTCAGTCTCCTGAGTGCTGGCATGACAAGCATGAACCATGATGTCTGACTGAGATAGTTTTAGTTATACAATGAGAAACATAGTGTATGAAAACATTATCACTAGGATGCAAGCTCTTCAAAGGCACATTTCTCTGTATCTATGTTCTTCCTATTTTATATCTTGTACTTTGGAAAGTGCACAACACACATATTTGTTGAAGAATGATTAAATGATACAATCTAAAACACTTCTGGGCTTTAGCTTACAAATTCAATTACATTAACTTAAAATTATTTTCTTCAGTATCTACTATGTCATAAACAGAATATAGAACACTGGGAATAAAATGACAAACCAGAGAGAAACAATTTCTGCCACATTAGGAAATACACTCAGTATAGAATATAAACTAAATAAAAACCTTACATTAACATATTAATTACTATAAAAACAGAACTAGAGAGTGTTAAAAACTGGGCATTACCAGTTCTTTGCCATGGCATCCTCTGAAAAAATTAGGGTCAGAAATTGGATCAGAGAGATATGACTGGAGGAGATTTAGCCGAAGGCCCGTGGGAGGTTCGTTAGTCATTTTGACTCCATTCTGCAGAATTGTCACTGGAAACTAAGACAAAGCAAATGTAAAGTATTAGGCAAGATGACGACCTTGAGCCATAAAAATCTAAGCAAAAGTGGATTAGAAAGCAAGTATAGCAGCAGGTTATATGAAACTCTCTAAGCTTAATAATTTAAAACTCAGGAAATATCGTATAACAGACACCTAGTAAAGGTAGTAGGCTCTAGCATAAGAACTAAACATACTTTTGGAGATGGGTAGCTTGTGAGCCAAAGCCTGAAGTTTGGATTGCAGAGTTCAGGTGAAAAATCTTCACATATTTTTTCCAGTGTGGGCATCCAGGAGACAGCAAGGTGACAGTTCTGTAGACAAACCCAAGTTCCTTCTTCTACGGCCTCTTTAATCATTTTTGATGCAACTGGTCCCTGTCCTTGCCCCAGTGAAATAGCTTGAAATTTATTTCCAGACATGGCTTTATCATTTGCAAATTTCAGCAGGCCTACAAGGAGCATGAGTAAACAACACCACTTGTTACTCTGTTCCAACTTTCAGCGCCTGTGAAAGATTCTGGTTGCTTTTCCCTAAATATGAGATTTGTTAATGGATTTACAGTCCTATAACAATGTGTATTGAACAAACTATTTTAAGTTATGCTTAACTTAAAATATGCTGCCTATGCATGGTACATTTATATAGATGCAGGCAAAACATACACAGACAATAAAGTGTGTGTGTGTGCGTGTGTTACAGTACATATACTTACTGGCCATAGGATCTGCTCCCGGAGACAGCACAAAAATTAAGGGAATTGTACAATTTGAATCCAAATAACTCTTTGTCAGGTCAAATGGTGGAGGTTCTACAAATTTTTTTCCTAGCTTGTCAGTTACATAATTCGTTATAGCTGGGGTTATCTGGAAATAGAGAAGACACAGTCTTTTGAGAACAGTTACTGAAAAACAAACAAACAAAAACATTAGAATTTGAGCATAACCGCCAAAAGGCACACAATGAAGCACAGAAAATCATTAATTTCCCTAATATGTAAAAAAAATAATAATAATGTGTGAACTGATAGGACAGGAAAAACATTCCAAAGGAAAATGGACAAGGTAGATTATCTTACTGAAAAAGACATCCAAGTAAGGAAACATGTCTCCGGACTAGAGCGATGGCCCAGCAGCCGAGTGCTTGCATCTCTTGCAGTGGACCCGAGCTCTGTTTCCAACGCCCACTCCTGTCAGTTCACCACCATCTGTAGCCCTGGCTCTTCTGCTCTCTATGGGCACACACGACAGCATACTCTCTCTCTTCACACACACGCACACACACACACACACACACACACACACAGTCTTTATGGATCCTTAGAAATAAGATCTTTCCATTTAATATGGCAAAAACTGCACACGATCTCCCATCCTCGTCCCCTTTACGTAGCAAAACTCCAGCTATTTCTCAGCATTGCTTGTAGCTAACGGCACATGTGACTGTGTAAGTTAGAAATCCAGCCAGGTGAAGGGGTGCATGGCTGTGATCCCAGCACTCAGGGAGGCAGAGGCAGGTGGATTTCTGTGAGTTCGAGGCCAGCCTGGTCTACAATCAAGTTCAGGACAGCCAAGACTACACAGTGCTGCACCCTGTCTAGAAAAACAAAACAAAAAATACACAGGTATAAATTATCATTCTTATTTATTCTATTCCATGTATTTGTTTGTGTGTATCTGTCGTGGAGGTCAGAGGACAACTTGTGGGAACTGGTTCTCTCCTTCCACCATGTGGGCCCTGGAGCTCACACTCAGAGCACTGGGTATGGCAGTCAGTGCCCCGGCATTACTGAGTCATCTCATTAGCCCACAAGTCTTTATAGAAAGTTTTCTTCAACACCTTCTTTCCACCTTCAGCACACATACTGTTCACGAGGATGCTCCAGTCTTGCTGACTCAGGACTTTGCTAGGTGAGTAAAAGACTTTCTAGGTGATCTCGAAAGTAGAGCGACCGAGCAGGGCAACCCTCGAGGCAGGGATGGCAGTTCCAGAGCAAAATGGTCTCAAAATAAGAATAAGCAGGGCTAGAGAGATGGCTCAGCAGTTAAGAGCACTTTTCACCCTTGCAGAGTGAGTGGTTCCCAGCACTCACATGATGGCTCACAACCACTTGTAACTCCAGCTCCAAGGGATCTAACGCCCTCTTCTGCCCTCCATGGGCACCAGGCATGCACACAGTGTGCATACGTACATGCAGGCAACACACTCACTACATAAAATAAATCTCTAAAAGAAAGAAGGAAGAAGGAAGCAAACATACAAGTCGTTTGTCTTTGGGCTGTTGAGTAAGAAATTAACTTCTAAGCACCTGTATTTTTGGTGTCTTTTTTTATGGTGGGTTATTTTTTTAAATATTTATTTATTTATCTTTATTTTATGTACATTTAGTGTGAAGGTATCAGATCCCTTGAAATGGGCATTACAGACAGTTGTGAGCTGCCATGTGGGTGCTGGGAATTGAACCTGGATCCTTTGGAACAGCAGACTTTCTTAACCGCTCTTAACTGCTGAGCCATCTCTCCAGCCCCTTATGGTGGGTTATTTTATGCTCATTTATTATAAGAAAAATGTAACTTATAATAACACTTAGATCTAGTATTTTGCCTTTCACACTGCTATTTAAATAAGCAAAAGATTTCTTTTAAGGCCATGATACCCAAACATTTGGTCGAATAGTAGTCTACACTTTGTTGCTGAGACTAAAAAGTCTATGCTTTTCGGCTGAGACTAATATTTAAATCCACAGACTAAGCAAAGCTGGCTTCTTTCTGTGATGTAGTGTGAGCAGGTCCTGTAGCCAGTGTGGCGTTTCTAGAACGAAGGCAGTGTGTCTTCTCAGGCTGCCTTTGGCCTGAGCATCAGGTCAGTGCTTCCTCACTCTCAGCTCTCCCCAGCTCCCTGCTGACCTGCCAGCTTCTCCAACCCACTTGTAGAAATTGACTGACCATGTAGTACCTGCCGTGCGGCACTTTAAGTCCTAAAGATATACAGCAGATGTGGGCCCCCAAGGTCAAGAGTTCCCTAGTCCAGCTGGGAACCCTAACAAGTAAACAAGGAATTGTGTGTTCTAGCAGCGTACGGTCTATGGTGTATAGCTTCAGCTTTCAAAGCCTGAACACAAAGCAGTGACTCCATAAGAGGTTGGGCTACCTCCAGTGCCCTCCAGAGAGCCAATCTGCCAAGTGCAAATGGGTGTGGCCCAGATGCAAAGCAAGGGTCTTATCAGGTCAGTGTAGCAAAGTTTTTCATTCTTTAACACTTGGGCCAAAGATATCTGGGCACAGGGTCTTTTCTGAGACTGACACTGCACCAAGGACCATGTATGGAGATAACCTAGAACCTCTACTCGGATGTAGCCCGTGGTAGCTCAGTAACCAATTGGTTTCCCATAGTGAGGGGAACAAGGACTATTTCTAACAGGAACTCAATGACTGGCTCTTTGGCCTCCCCACCCCCGAAGGGAGGAGCAGTCCTGTTAGGCCACAGAGGAGGGCTTCGCAGCCAGTCCTGAAGATACCTGATAAAACAGGATCAGATGAAAGGGGAGGAGGTTCCCCCCTATCAGTGGACTTGGAAAGGGGCAGGGAGGAGATGAGGGAAGAAGGGTGGGATTGGGAGGGAATAAGGGAGTGGGATACAGAGTTAACAAAATGTAGCTAAAAAAAAAAAAAAAAAAAAAAAAAAAGAACTTAACACTTGGGACTGGATAGATGGCTCAGTGGTTAAAAGCACTGTCTGCTCTTTCAAAGGACTGGGGTTCAATTCCCAGCACCCACATGGCAGCTCACAACTGTCTGTCACTCCTGTTCCACTCTCACAGAGACATATATTCAGTCAAAGCACCAATGTACATGAAATAAAAATAAATTATTAAAAAAAGAACTTAACACTTAGCTTATATAGACATTGCACAGTATCAAAAAACATTTCCCTTTCTATCCTAATACTATATGATTTTCTACATTTAAATTTTAATCTATCTATCTATCTATCTATCTATCTATCTATCTATCTACCTACCTACCTACCTACCTACCTATCTATCAGGATTTTTGAAACAAGCTCTTACTCTGCAGCCTAGGCTAGCCTGGGACTCATAGTGGTCCTAGCGCCTCAGCCTCCTGAGTGCTGCAATCACATTTTCTATAAGCAATACCCAGAAAAATAAGGGCTTTTCCTTCCTTCTTCTTCCAACTCTGGCTAAAGCTGTAAAGAAAATAATCCATTTCCCTTTGCTTATTCCTGTCTCTAGGTTTTTAATACTAGGCACAGAGCAATTCTCACGTTCCAGTTACACTATTTTTTTTTTTTTTTCTGATTGAAAGGCCCATCGTGGACTATAGTACCATAATGCAGCATGAGGCTGTTGTGTTTAGGACTGATACTTCATAAACTACAGTTTATCTGCATTTTCAAACTTGTCTTTTACCTTATCAGGCCTTAAACACCGAAGAACTATTATTTTCTGTAGTTCATTCAGCGTCTTATCCATTGGCTCTGGAAATTTCATATTGTGCGGATCTTTGCTGTCGTAGATTTCCTGCCACTCCTCTATGTGTTGACAAAAATGCTCCCTAGGGAAAAAAAATATGTTTAATTTAGAAATGACTGAACAAGGGAAGAAGTAAGATGGTAGGGGGTCATGTCAAAGCCACTAGCACACAGGAGCTGTTCTGGATTCGGGGTGCCAGGGAATGCACTCGATCTAGGGACAGGTAGACAAAAGCTTCTGGCAGAGCAGGAGAAGACAAGAGAGAAGAAGCCAGGACCCTTGATTCAGACAACACAGCTCTAGTGAGAGTTATGGCATGGGGCTCCTGCAGCCTGCAGAACTCTGGCCCTGGTGATGACAGATTCATTGACTTTATCCAGCTGGGAGATCTTCCATGGCAGACGCACCGTGGTGTTATTTCAATCCTGAAAAGAAATGCCACTTTTTCTTGCTCTTTGAACATAAGAATTGCAACATCTTCACAAAAGAAGAGCATCATGGACAAAGAAATGGAAAGAGATAAACAGAAAATTAAAATAAGCAGGTTTTTTCCCCACTGTCATCCCCAATGACTGCCATTTAGCCCATAAACTCTGAGTAAAAAAGGCCTATGTTCAGAGCCCAGGTCCCTCTGCTCTGGCAAGTGGCCAGTTTAACCTCGGACACCAAACATGACCAGATTTCCACAAGAAGACACTCCAAGGATACCCTCAGCAATGCGTGTGACCTGAAGGTCTCCATGTCCAACACACACACACACACACACACACAGTGTCGACACCTCTAATTCATCAGCATGAAGCACATTCTGTGTTCTGGGTGCCCATATGCTAGTGGACTGGCCTGGAACATTTAAGCCAGGCGAGCCTTGAAGTTGACCCTGTTTCTTTAGTCTCTGCACTGCTAGCATCACAAGCATGTTCCATCGTGTCTCAAGATGCTGAATGTCTTACGTGAAGACACTTTAGCAAAGTTATTTCAGCTAAATGGTTAATTGGGAGCTTTTTTTTTTTTTTAAAGAAAAATTAATCTTGTCAAATTATTTTTCTGTCTCTTTTTCTAAAAAAGAAAGAAAAAAATTAAAAAAATGTGTCTGGGTGGGGTTGGAGGCTCCCCAGCTCAGGGCTAAAGATTGGCAAAATGGAAATAATTAAATGAAAGTATCTCCCTTCACTTAAGGAAAATGGATACTCAGGCCAGTGGCACTGTGTTTTGGTAGTTAGGCCTGGTTGAAGGAGCACACCCATCTAGAAGGCCAGCAGAGGTAGAAAGGTACAGGGAAACCTCTTTACAGGAAGCAGTCTCTACAGGATGGTTTAAACCTGCAGTCTGGAAGCATTACACTCATTAAACTTATCTTCCTGGCACGGTCTACCACAGCTTTCTGGGATTCTACCTTTATTATCATTTATGATCTCCTCAAGAGAAGACGGATCTTTAAAATGGGATGCTGAGGTGATTTTTGGAGACTGGCTCCTGTATCCAACTTGGTTCTTGTCCCATCCTTCTGTGAGAACAGAGTAGGTAGGTAGCAAAGAGTACTAATGGTGAGGCTACTGCTAACTCCGGATTAAAAGCCTTAAAACAGAATAGGGCAACTGAAAACAGATTGCCATTGGGATTTAAATGAAATGGGCTTGAACTCTCCGTGGCAGGAGGCCATTGCAGGTCTGAGAAGTGAAACCAAGAGCGGACTCAAGAGCGAGCCGCAGCGCTGGGAGAGTGCTGCCGCCTCGCAGGCTTCCAGAGCAGCAGGTCTTAGACTCACGGGGTTTGAACATCTGGAGGCTGCAAAGTTCCCGTGGAATGAATTACCATCCAAGTCTGAATCCTGGTGCCTTAGAGGCTGACACAGGAACAGGTCCCCTTTGCCTGCGGTAGAAGATGAGTCTGGGGGCCAGCTCAAGTGACCTGTTGTCCCAGTACAGAGGCCACAAGCATAGGCAGTCTTCTCTATCCACTTACCTTGGCCTGTCCTCCGAAGCCCAAGCTCACAGACTGCCAGCAAGGTGACTGAATGTGGACATGAAGTGAAGAAAATAGGTCCAATCAGGAAGAGAGGTTGAACCCAGTGGGAGAGGGGAAGCATCTGAGCTCACCAGATGCTCATTGTCAGGTCCTCTCCAGTCCACTCCGCAATACTTAGCTTGTTAAAAAGGTGCTGTCCCCTCCAGGTCTTTCTATCTCCCCCTTCTCGCATAAGATTCACTCTGCACAAAGTTTGGCTAAGAGTCTCAGCCTCTGCTTTAATTCCCTGCTGGGAAGAGTCTTTCAGAGGTCCTCTGTGGCAGGCTCCTGTCCTGATCCCTGTTTTCTCCCTCTTCCAATGTCCATTCGTATGTTTTTTGACTATTTAAGAATAAAATGAACATACATGTTGTTCTCATATAGTATGCTTAAATGGTTTTAAATGTTTTCATAATATCTTGAATTTGTTTCAACAGAAAAAAAAAGTTACTGTTGGTTCTGGTCGCCACGACGCAGCTCTCAGGTTGCCTGCTGTTTCTCACTTCCTTCATCTAGGGGGTTTCATGCAGCTGAAGGGTTTCGTTGTTGCTGTTTGCTTCTAGCAGTTGCTGCCACTGAGTTAACAGCTATCAGCAGCCCACTCTTTGGCTCCTTTGCCCAGTAGTCTTGAGCTCTCTGAGTTCTGTCAGAGGCTGTCAGGAGCTCCATGTGGGTGGGGAGGACACTCACCTGTGATATTACCTTCCAGAATGTACAGTACAACAGATTGTGTTTCTATTTTTGGTGACTTAAACGTTAGCTTCAAGGATACAGGGTTAAATAAGCCTGGCTTTGGCTTCTTATAAGGCAAGAGCTAGAATATGTGAGATGTTTATGAAAAAGACCCTTCCTTAGAAACTGGTTGAGAAAAGGTATTGACTCCCCGCCTGGGCCCCAAGGTGACTATGTCACAATAAACATGTTGCTGATCTCTTTTACTTTGGGCCACCGAGCTACTTCCGCAGGTCTTCATGTGAGTAACTCAAGCAGTGTATGTCTAACCTGCCTCAACCCCTTCAAGGCTGAAGGCACAGAGTTGGGTTACAGTTCTAAACCTGCAGTCACCTTTGGGGCCAGGAAGAACAGAACCTCAGAAAATGAACTCCTGCTTCCCCAGAGGAGGACCAGGCTGCACGTCTAAACAGAAGTAATCATTCATCTCTCAGAACCATTTCTCAAGATTATTTTGGACCACTTTGCAAGAGTGGAGCAATGATCAAGAAGACACACTGGACCCGAGACGAGAACAGGAGATAGGAACTGGTCAGGTTAGTTTAGGACTGTGACCTTGTTTCCCATGCTTGGTTGGAAGCTAGAAAAAACCTTTGCTTCTGTTCTGGTCAGAGGCTTTGGTTTCTTATCTTCTGTTGTCCTAAATGAGCACGCCTGTCTGGAAACTGCGTGTGAGGACTTGGACTGAGCAGCCCATCTCCCCAAGCCTCACCCCAGTTTCTTCTATGCGCCCAATAAAACCCTCCCATGCTAGTCACTCACTAGCAACCTGTTCCCCAGGATCTGCTCTCGCTGCTCAGGAGCTCTGCTTTCTTTCCTTAGGCTCCTACCTATGAGCTATGCTAAAACTTCTAAAGCTCATCCTTCTGGGGTTCAAGGGCTTCATTTTTTAAGTTTCCAAGACAGGAACCTGGAGCCATGGACTCAGTGGAAATCTGTGAGATTATGCACCCCAACTCTTGAGTTAGAGCCTTCCTGAGGCTAGGTCCTCTGCCACACTCAGAGACCCCTCTTTTCGACCTTAAGGACCTTACTTTTCCAGCATCACTAGGACTAATTGATCACTCATACATCTTGCCCTAATTTGTCCCCTATAGACATAAGTCACATGCCAGTGCTCTGAATATGGACTTGGGGAGGAGTTCACTGGACCCCTTTGTTTCTCTTCCTGGTGTGGCCATGCTTCTTTGTCTCTTTCATTGATGTCTTGGGACTACACGGCTGCAGGAAGCATGGTTTCGCATGTGAAGTGTTACATTATGCGAGGATCCTGTCTTTCTACTAACCAATAAACTAGAAAAAAATTTAAAATTTTTTTTGTAAATTTTAAGTTACAAATTTAACATTATTATTCAACATCCAGTCACCAAATGTATACAATTACCTGAGTCCTTGGAAGACAGGAAGTTCACTTGCTCGACAAATCTCCTCCCAGCTTTTGTCCTGCAGCCAGTCTGGATCAGGGTTTTTTTCAGCACTCTTAAGACTCACTCCTCCAGTTAAAAGAAACATCAGTTCCTGGTATTCAATCTCTTTCTTGGCCCTGTGTTCCCAAACAACAGCTGTTGTAAACTGTTGACGTTAATGGGACGCCGTCAGCTCCTACATCAGAGCCTGGATGGAGTAGCTCAGATTGTACTCAGCCTCACACAGAATGAAACAACTGTTGTGGAAACTGCAATAGCCAGTGAGGAATGCAGCCACTAAGAAACAGATGAGGTGGCTCATATGTTGCCTTAGCTCTCTGCCCAGTGACACTTCCCTGATGCAGGTGTAAAAGTCAAAGCTGGGCGGTGTTGTTGAGACAAGGAGGCAGACGGGAGGAGGGCTTGTCCAGGGCAGAAGGGAGACGCAGCAGGCACTGCTGACAGTGGCTGAGGGGCTCTGCCACGCAGGGGCCCTGCTCAGGTAAAGCTCACTTTTTATTCATGTGCACTGGTATGTATGGCTGTGTGAGGTTATCAGAACTAGAGTTTCAGGCAGTTGTGAGCTGCCATGTGGGGGCTGGGAACTGAACCTGAGTCCTTCGGAAGAGCAGACAGTGCTCTTAACCACTGAGCCATCTCTACACCGCCCCCCAACTCTTTATCTGTGCTACAGAGAAGAATTTCTGGGTAAGCCGAGTGAAGCAAGGTCAACAGATTTACAAAGGAGAGATAAAGCAGGGTCAAAGGCAAAGAAAATGAAGGGCACTGGAATGGAAAAGGAGTGTGTCTCTCTGACCCTCTGAGATACTTTCTTGGAATCACAAAAAAGGCTGCTTAGACTTTGAGTACATGAGAAACATCTTAACTTTCTCTGTGCCCCTTAGGACCTAGGATTTTACTGTAACAGCTGTAATCCCATCTAAGGCACAAAGGGACTACCCTAAGATCTGATTTACTGAAAACAAGACCCTTTGAGATATAACTTCAGGCCTCAACAAACCTCTGTATCTGGCTGCTGTGAAGATTTCTAAGTGTAACTCTCTTGGGCAGCCCATACGCACACGTGTGTGCGGCTTCTTACTACCCTTGGTGCCTGTCTCACTTTCTTTTACTTCCTGTGTTTAAAATCTATGTTAAAAATCTCTTTTAATAAACTCCAACTCTGCTTCACACTGGCTCATCCTGAAGCTCCTGCAGTGAAGCCAAGGATCAAGGCTCTGGCTTTACCTCACTGAAAACTCAGGCTGCTGGGGACAGCATGGAGCGACATCTCTATCCCAGCGCTGCTGAAAGAAACATGAGACTGTGCGTACTTACATACAAGTGGCAGAAAGAAGGGGAGGGGAGGGACAGGAGGGGAGGGGAGGGGAACAGGGAGGAGAAGGGGCAGGGTACCTTCAAGTATAATAAGAGAGAAGTGCTTACGTATTTACAGTGGACAGAACATTTTTGTGTTTTGAAGTGATGGGAACAACTCAAATCTTCACCAAAAGTGGAACAGATAAACTGTAATGTGTTCTTACAATAGAATGCTACAGAACAGCTAATGAGAACAAATGATAGCTTCCCGAAAGAATCTTTTTAAACTTATGTTGAAGGGCTAACAAGATGGTTCAGTGGATAAAGACACTTGCTGCCAAGCCTGATGACATGAGTGTATTCCCTAGGTCGCAATTGATGGAAGCAGACAATGAACTCCGCATGCTGCCTTCACACACACACACACACACACACACACACACACACACACACAAATAAACAAAGTAATAAAAAGTTCAGATGGTGAGAGAAAGCAGACAGAGTACCTACATTTGGATCCTTTTTTGTATAAAAGCAAAATAAATGGCAACACTGGAGACGAGAGTAGCAGTCCCCTTTGGAGAGAGCAGAGGGTGGAGCACAACAGATTCCGGGACGACGGCAAAGTTTTCCCTCCAACTTCGCCTTTGTAAGAGTCGACTGAGCTCTCTACTACATTTTGTGAACTTTTGTGTAATAGATAAACTTTAAAAGTTAAAAACAAGCACCAGAACATCAATATTATCGTGGAGACCATCGTAACATGGAAAATAATGAATTAAACCAAGCACGGCACTACACCATTCTCTAGGAAGCCATTTGGAGGGTCCCTGTCCAAGGTGAGTTTTTAAAGTAAGCGGGTGGAGGAAGTGCCGTCACTTACAGGAGAAGGTTAGCACATAGCAAAAAGGAGAAGAGCAGCTTGTCCTTCTCGAACAACGATCGGCATATGTTACAGTATAAATTGTACGTGAAGTGATCATTTAAATATCGCAGGCGTTTCTCCAAAATTTTGGATTTGTTACTAAAAGGTCAAGAAAAGAAAAATATGTTGTCAATCAAAAATAGGACAAGTAAGTGGCCTGGGTTATCCTCTAATATGTTCTACACTTATTAAAGTCCTCATCACTAGAAACATCAGAAGTCACATACAAATGTAAAACCCGCCAATGAGTTCTAATCCAAACCATCACTGAAACACATAAATGACATTTTCCCAATTCTTTACCTTGACCCTCCTCCATCATGAGCACAGAGTAAATTCAGGCTCTAAGTCACAACTGGGGACTCTTAGGGATTTTAATTATTCAGGAGACATTGTTCTATCAAGAGGTGACATAGAAAGAAATTTCTTGAAGTACAGATGTGGGTCGCAAGTCATACTTTAATTTTACTTAAATATAGAAATTACTAAATAGAAGACATTGTTCTCAACACTTTGAAAAATCTCACTTAATTCTCAAGACAACCAGAGGAGATAAGTACAGTTATTATTTATGTTTTATACAGAAGGAAACTGAGGCCATTATAAAGGTGCTGGCTTTTCTATAGTCCTGAGCTGGTAGGAGGTAAAACAGATGGAATGACGTCAAGACCCGTATACATTCACTATGGTCGTTCACTGGATGGCTTTAGAACCATGACGTAAGACAGCCCCTAGGAAAGTCTGTGAGGGATTTTTATAGCTGAGGGCATTTGAAATGGGGAGCATCAGCCCATGGGCTGGAGGAGGAAGGGAACTGAGCAGCTGTGTCCATACAACAGGACTAGCTACCTTCTACCCTCCCACCGTGTCGCCCCCAGCATGATGGACTCCAAACTATGAGCCAAAATAAATGCTTCCTTCCTTCCTTCCTTTCTTTTATTTTCTTTCTTTTTCTTTTTTTTTTTTTTCTTGGTTTTTCAAGACAGGGTTTCTCTGTGTAGCCTTGGCTGTCCTGGACTCATTTTATAGACCAGACTGGCCATTCATTCACAGAGATCCACCTGCCTCTGCCCCCCTGAGTGCTGGGATTAAAGGTGAATGCTTCTTTTTCTTAAATTGACTTTTTTTAGGTATTTTGTTCTAGCAACAAGGAAAGAAGCTAACATACTTATTAATCCTCTAAAGTGAAAATACCTAGCACAAAATATAAATGTGGTACAGCCTTTTAGACACTTCAGAGCTGGAGAAAGAGACATTAGAATAGTCCCATCCTCCCTCCCCCTTCTCCACCCTTGCCCCTCCCCCAGTCCACTGATAAGGGAGGTCTTCCTCCCCTTCCTTCTGATCCTAGTCTATCAGGTCTCATCAGGAGTCGCTGCATTGTCTTCCTCTGTGGCCTGGTAAGGCTGCTCCCCCCTCAAGGGGAGGTGATCAAAGAGTAGGCCAATCAGTTCATGTCAGAGACAGTCCCTGTTCCCATTACTATGGAACCCACTTGGGCACTGAATTGCCAGGGACTACATCTGTGCAGGGGTTCTAGGTTATCTCATGAATGGTCCTTGGTTGGAGTATGAGTCTCAGGAAAGACCCCTGTGCCCAGCCCAGACTTTTTGGAGCTGTTGCTGTCCTTGTGGAGCTCCTGTCCTCTGCAGGTCTTAGCTGTCTTTCTTTCTTTTTTTTTTTTCTTTCATTTTTTTCACTTTCTTATACTTAATGTTCTACAGTAAAATACTAGAGAAGTAAGTACAAACAATAATTAGATTTTTTAATGGAAAGGATGGTGAAAAGCCCAAACTAAGGAAATGGATGAAACTAGAAAGCTGCTTACCTATCATGAATAGAGTTGATATAAAGGTTCACAAACCAGATGAGAGAGTATTGGTACATGGGATCAATGTTAGCCAGGTCTGCAATGCTAAAGAACAACACTGATGAATGTTTAGCAATGGGTCTATAGCCTTCTCGGGATTCTGCTATTTTGAGTTCTGTTTTTTCTGCAACCTGTTAGAAGGGAAGAATCAAGATAAATGAATAGGAGTGTCTTAATCATACATTTTTCCTATAATGAATTTTATATATAGTTGAAAAGCCCTTAACTCAACGACAAATTATATGAACTTAATATAAGCACATTCTACAAGAGGAGTTTCTAGCTAAAAACTAGAAAGCAAGAAAGGAAAAATGGAAGAATTACAGAGGAAGGAAGAGGAAGGTGAGAAGCCGGAAAAAGAAGAGGAAAAAGAAAAACTTTACACTATAGATTAACAGCGTGGTTACCCACTGACCACTACTTTCTTATCTGAGGAATACGAGTCTTCGGTTGTTTACTTTCTTTTGCCTTAATAAGGTGGGACATTGAAACAGAGAGCACTGTGTGCACATCCATGTTGGAGCATTACCATGTGTTCCCCAGCGCAGTGTGAGCCCCAGTTAGCAAGCAGCAGACAGTTTTATAGACATTGACAATGCTTTTCTCCACTAGTCTCTCTATATGTTTAACCTCTTTACAGTTAATGATGCTAGATATTCTAGGGTTGAATATCTATTCAACCCTGGAAGAAGAAGAAAGGAGGAGGAGGAGAAGGGTAGGAGGAAGGAGGAAGAAGGAAGAAGAAGCAGCAGCAGCAGAAGAAGTAGAAGGAGAAGGAGGAGGAGGAAGAGGAGAAGGAGAAGAAGAAAAAGAAGGAGGAGGAAGAGGAGGAGGGGGAAGAAGAAGGAAGAAGAAGAAACATCCCTAAGATAGTAGCTCCTCACTTGACAACCCAATCCGCTAGGCTGAAATTCACTCTATGGGGAAACATTTAGAACACTACCCCAGCCAACTTTCCCTATTTTGCTGTTTGTTTCCTATCCACCAATTGCTGAGTGGGTGTGCCTGTGCAGCCTTCATTGCACACAATAATTCCATTTGTAACTATATACTGTCAGGTGGTGTGATTTGACTAGACCCAGGAGAAAATAATGGAAAGTGTCCTGAGAGAATTGAAGCTTTAAGCGCCTCAGAATTTTAGTCAGGTGGTACTTGTAATAAGCGCTAACAGATAATGGAAATTTTTCTTTATATTGTTTTCTACCTGTTAGATAAATGTATAAAGAAACAGGGACAGGAGTTTAAAATAAGAAACTGATTCTTGAGCTGGGCATGGTGGCGTACATCTGGAATTCCAGTATTCAGAAAGGCAGAGGCAGGCCGATCTCCTGGTCTACAAAGCCAGTCCAGGACAGCCAAGGCTACACACACACACACACACACACACACACACACACACGAGATTATATTAATCACTAATCATTTTTCCACTGTGCCCCCTTCCAGTCTGGCTCCACTCTGGGACAAATGTTTAAGAGGTTTAGTTTTCTAACAATGTGTTATTGATAAAGATTCTTTCAAGTGTTTGCTCCCTTATTTTACACTTTTGAAGAACCAAAAAAAAAAAAAAAAGATAGTGTCTTACAGAAATACTCTACAGCAGCCAGCATCTGAGATCGTGTGTGTGAGACACACACACACACACACACACACACACACAGAGAGACAGACAGAGAAACTGATATCTGATTCTTTAATAGAAGGACCACACAGCCCCAGTGAGAGAAGAGACAACATGGAAATTCAGGGCTCCTGTTATCCTCCAGTCCTTGATATAATGCATAACATGGGCAGTTTTATCCCAGCAACAAAGTAAAGTAGGATGTTTCTCCTCTCTGATAACTAGTTTGGTGTGGGGACAATGTGAAGGCCATCAGAGTTTCCTGGGCTCTGATGAACAAGAGCTGGGGAGACACACCACTCAGCATCTCAGTCATGAAGCTGCTCTTGCAGAGAGCCTGAGTTCAGTTTCCAAGACCCAGATAGCAGCTCCAAACCATCTCATCACCTGAGTTCCGGGGAATCTCCCGCCTCAGCAGGCAACAGGCAGCGCACAGACACATGCAGACAGAACACTCAAACGCATATAAACAGAAAAATGTATCTTAAAAACCCTTAAAATCATTACAAATACTTTTAAAGGAAAGAAGAAGGAAAAACAAATGTTTTAAAGGGCAGGCCTTGGACTGAGATGGTGAGGTGGTGAGGTGGTAAAAGCACTTCCTGACAACCTGAGTTTCTTCTCCAGAACACATATAAAAGCCAGATGAGGCAGCTCTGTAATCCCAGAACTTCTATGACAAAATGGGAGGCAGAGACAGGACAGTAAGCAGAAAACAAGAAAGATTTGGCTTCAGTGGGGCAGAAGGAGAGAACCAACTCCCAGAAGCTGGCCTCTGACTTTCACATATGCGCCACTGGGTACCCTTTCACGCCCTGCCTCACAAACAAATAAAAACTTCGGGGTGGGGTGTAGTGGGGTGATGTGCAATAAAAATAGCACCTGCCTGTTTGATGAATCTGGAATGTATTATTGGTTGTAGACCACCTGAATCTTTCCTCCACCTGGCACTTATGTCTCCTCTCTCTTCCTCCTCCCCCCTATCTCCCTTCCTCCTTCCCTCCCCTCCAATAAGCACATGGATGACAAGCTGATGTCAGAACATCCCCTATTGGTTCTAAGAACCACGTATTACTCAGCCATTCGGAACTTATCTCCGCACACCTCAAAGTCCAACCACTAACTGAGGTAAGACAACTTTCAGAGTTCAGTTTCTAGATAAAGAGTTAACTAAAATGTAAAAAACCTGCCTTGACTATGCTGCATGCTTAGCTGGTGACTTTATTTCTACTGTGTATAGCTAAAGTATAGATTGAACTAAATTTAGAGATATTCAACAGTAAGATATTGTCTTCTGCATTTAGCATTGGTTTTTAAGTTTTCATACTTTATCAATTTTCCTTTTCTTGAAAACCCACTCTAGCATTTCCGAATGCTAGAATCCAAACATTTCTAGGAGTCTTTATTTTACCTGCTGTTTCTTTGTTATCTCATTAGACATTATTTTGGCAGAGTCTAAGACTTTTATTGCACTTTCATCTTCCAAAATGTTCCCTTCTGAAGATGATAATGTCTCTAAAATTCTTGTCTCTATGTCTTTTAGCTGCTTCTTGTTAGCTGCAGACTGAAGAATAAGAACATTTCGCTCCTCCTCTAATTCTGGTCTGAAAAAGATAGAAACATTTACTGTAAATCTGTAGCATTTAATTTAACTTTATCTAAATATTATGCATACAATTTTGTGAATATTTGAATTATTATATAGATGTATACGAAACTAACCAATTTTACTATGGTAAGGGGAAATAATTGCATGCTGAGATGGTTAGTTTTAGAGGTTAATGTGGTGTAATCTAAAATTGCCTGGGAAGGCAATCTCAGTGAGGGTTATCTAGCTAGGCTGACTACATGCCTGGCCCCTCAATATGGAAAGGAGAGAGGGAGCGAGTGTTGGCATGTGTGTGTCTATTGCTCTCTACTTCTCATAGCACATGGCGTGTGACCAGTTCTCTCACGCTCCTGCTCTGTGACTTCTCTGCTAAGGAGGACTATAAACTGGAACTGTGGTTGGAAGAAACCCTTTCTCCCCAACTTCCTTTTGTCAACATATTTGATCACAGCAAATAAGAAAATAAGAAGGCTCATACAAATATAGATTTGAGAAATTTAAGGAAAGAAAATGTCATTGACATACTTAAACTGTGACAACAACTCTCAGAATGTTAGATTAATCCTTGTGGCATAGCTGGTCACATACAGGAAAAGTTAAAAAAAAAAGATTTCAAATAGATTTCTTATCAGTTCATTGGCTTTGTCATCAATAACTCAGAAGGAGGACTGGTCTTACTAGCTTTTGAAGTGAAAGGCAAAATTGGCATTAAGCATTAACAAGCAAAAATTGGATGAAACTTCAAAATAAAATCATCTGTTATAGAGAATGTAATGACATAGGTCTTGTTTATATTTAGTAACAAAGTTTTATATAATGTGATTTTCCTCAACAGAGCACTTAGTAACATCATAGTAAGCTTTAATGAGAATCAATTATTTTCTTCCAAAATAATTTCTTTCTCGTAGCTTTTCTGGCTATTGTTGTTTTTTTCTCATTTGAAAAAGTAGTGTATGTTAGTAATAGAAAAATACAAAAGAAACAAACAATAAAAGTATAAAAATGATCTTTGCTCTTACATCCTAAGTAAAATAACGGCTAATATTCAAGTATAGTCTATCTTAATCTTCTTTCTTTTTTCATTTTGAACACAAAGAGGTTCATTTATCAATTTTTAAGTACAATATTACTTATCCTCACATGTAGATATAAAGCTATTTTTAGGCTCTATCTCAAACAGTTTATGAATTTCACACTCTGCATAGAAGTTCTGAATACATTTCTGATTCTGCCTATGGTCTGTACTAATATGAACACAGTTTCTAGCTCAGTGTGAGAGAAGTCACAATGTGCATTCTGATCTCATCACCCAAAATAAAAGACCAATACAACATGACTTGGTTTAGAAGTTAGTACTTTAGAGGGCTATATAATTGCTTAACTTATAATGTACAAAATATAAAATTTAGTAATTTCAAAATAGTCACAAAACAAAAATACTAATGGCCTACAGATATTCTCTAAACTGTCTGAAGCATCTAAAAAAATACGTACCTTTCCTTTGCAACAACAATGCCTAGTAATTGATCTTCAAGCCCTTCTGGAGTTATCATGAAATTGAGCAAAGACACTTTTGTAGCTAGTTCTGGCATGTAGTGTGGATTTCTCAGTTTTGTGGTTATATAAAATTTAAAATCAAAAGAATATTCAATAATGACTTCACCAAGTCGAATGCAATCAATACCACCTATATTTCAGGAAAAATTGAAGACAACATGAGCCAAAATTACTTAGCCTCTCTTCCTATGTGCTTCTAAAGCCTTATCTGAGTTATAAGCAAAGAGTCCCAAGTAATTTAAAATAGAAAACAGACGTGACAAAGTCACTGATGCAGAGACAAGTAAGCAATTATACAGTAGGACTCATTCTGAAGCAACATGAGACACTGTGTCTGGTTGTCAGGAAACATGCCTTTAGTTCCAGCACTCAGGAGGCAGAGGCAGGTGGATCTTTTTGAATTCAAAGCCATCTGCGTCTACAGAGGGAGTTCCAGAACAGCTGGGACTATACAGAGAAAACAGAAACAAAAAACAGAAAACAAAATATTGAGGGATTTTCTATCAAATTTTAACTGTGATTCCATTTTTTTTTTTTTTTTTTTTTTTATGATTAAAGCTCACCAGAGTATCAGAGCCTGACAGAGATAAATGCTCATCAGCAGGAAGATACATAGTGGGTGATGTTTGTCAGGGTTCAACTCTGGCCACATTCTTGTTATTATTCATAATTAATGGACTTTGTGAGGTCAATGATCACAAGAGAAGGGGATTTCAGACTGGCCTCAACTGCCCCGTGCTCTCAACAGCACTAGAATCCAGGGAGTAGTAAACAGGCAAAGAAGACGAGGCACAGTACGTATCCTAGGATGCCTGATCAAGGTTCACTCCTGAAAGCTTGCTCCAGATTATTTCCATACACAGCAATTACACGGGAGTTCTAAGTCGTTATCATTAGTATTATATTTATATATTATTTTTCTTTCATGCCCCCCAAATAATCCAATTATCTTTTAGTTCTACCTTGTTTAAAAGTTTGTCTAAGTAGCAAAGGTTCCAAAGAGGGATCCAGATCCTCCCCGACATTCTCCAGAAGAAGAGGAGTTCCAAACTGTATGCAGTTTTCCAGGGTCCGCATGTAGTCTGTGTCCGACAGCTTAATAACATTAAGCTGATTGTCTTTCTCAGAGTTTTTGATCCACTTATTGGCTTGACCCTGGGGGTCAATCATTAAAGGCCTGGAAATAAAGAAGACAGTCCCAAGAGGAACAGATAAATGGTGCAATTTCTTAAAAATCTATGCAATTAAAGTAAATGTTGTCCTCAATTATTACAAATGCAAAGTATTTTACGTGAAGATTTATTTTCAGTAGGGGGTAGCAGCGCATCTCTGTAATCCCAGCACTTGGGGAGACAGAGGCAGGTGGATCTCTGTGATTTCAAGGCCAGCGTAGTCTACAATGCAAGTCCAGGACAGCCAAGGCTACACAGAGAAACCCTGTCTCTTAAAAATAAAAAACAAATAAAAAAGATTTGTCTTCATAAAAGTTTTATGATTATATATGTATATGTATGAGACAATGACAACCAAAGAAAAGGTCATGAATGTGCCAGGGCGGGAGCAAAAGAGGAGTTGGAGTGGGGAATGAGGGTAGAAGTTGTATAAATAAAGTATTCATGCATGCAAGTCTCAAAATATTAAAAATGTACATTTAAAAAAGTGTTCTTGGCTAAACCCAGTGGCCACAAAGCAAAAACAAAGGACCCTGAAAATACAAGGGGAACTGGTGGGAGGAAGTTTGGGGAAGGACTAATTAGAGGTGCCGGGATAAGAGAGGGCAAAAGGAGGAATGTGACCAGAATATATTGCATACACGTATGAAGTTCTCAAAAGAACAACTTAATTTAAAAAAGAATTTTATTCTTTCAAATGAGAAAGTTCAACCTCACATTGGCAAAAATCCCAAGATTCTAAAGTTGCATCAGTATCGGAGGAACTAGAAATTTGTGAACCTGTGACCTGTGCTCTTTTCAACATAACACTATCACCACAGAGATTTTAATCCACAGCATCTATTAACACAATGTGAAAAAATAATGGTACAAAACATTTGTTAAAAGTTTATAATAAAAAAACAAACCAGCTTATAAATGATTTTTACCAGTTTATGAGTAAAACTATATAGAGTGAGTGCCCAGGTTAAGTCAGGTTAAAAACATGCAGGCAAACACTCATGTACATAAAATAAATAAATATATTTTTAAAAGAATATATATGTAATTAGACAAGAACAGAACAGTGGTTATGCAGCCTGGGTCTTGCTGGAGGGTAGAGGCCAGAGAAGGAAATAGTAAATGGGCATTACAGTCAACTTGAATATGAGGAATAATTTCCAATATCTGGGCTATTGTTCTCTTTTGAAAAAGTCTCTTCTGTGATTATTCAGCCACTCAAGCCAATTTTCAGTCTTTCCATGGGACCATTTCTTTTTTAAAAAATATTTTTATTTTTTATTTATTTAACATTATTTTATGTGCATTAGTGTGAAGATGTCAGATCCCTTGGAATTGACATTACAGATAGTTGTGAGCTGCCATGTTGATGCTAGGAATTGAACCTGGATCCTTTGGAAGAGTAGACAGTGCTCTTAACCACTAAGCCATCTCTCTAGCCCCCATGGGACCATTTCTAAAGTATGTCATGATTATACTCTTGAGTTCTCACATTCAGCTGACACTACTCTAAAGGGACACCCTCACAACATCATAATTTAGGCATAATTATTGCCCCACTTTATATATAGGGAAATTGGGGCAAGAATGATTTATAAATCTTTAATTTGGTAAGATAACTGAATAAATGGTGGAATCATAAACACTGATGTATTTATACAATAGATTACAACCCTCCCTGAAACAAAGTACCCATATATGGAGTAACATGGATGAATCTCAAAACAGTTATGCTGCGAGGAAGATGTCTCATATGTATGTCAAGAAATAGATATGATGTTCTCTAAGAGGAATAAGTACTCTATGTTGAGAAGTAATTTCCTGGCGTGGGATGAGAGCAGGAAAAGAATGTAAAGAGACTATCCAGAAGGTAGCCTTGCTCTACATCGTGATGGAGACAAGTTTGAGTGTATTGGTGTATACTTTTTTGAACTAATCAAGTGGTACATTTGTCTAAACCAAAAATACACAAACTAATAGTGATCTTTAGTCAACAATGTGCATAATGAAGTGGTTAAGGGGAAACACATGTCTGCAGCTCATCTGCAAACACATTTAGAAAGATGGATTTGTGATTAAGCAGCAAATAGGACACAGTGATAACTGCAGAATCTGGCACTTATAGAAGTCTTTCAGCTTTTATATATGCTGGAAGTCTTTCAGATAAAACAGAAGGAAGCTTTGCTCCTTACCATCGCCTAGAATTATTAACAATCACACCATTGTCTATGGAGAATGCATCTGTTGGTAGCCCAGCAATATTCCAAGCTCTAATTTTTACTGGATCTCCCAAAGTTTTGCTCAATGAGAACTCTTCAGAACATGGTATTTTTTTCTCCTGTAAGAAATAAACAAAACTCTGATATTTTCTTTCATCATATTAATTGAATAGTCTTTAAGTTAAAATAGATATTTAATTGCCATAACTAAGGATCAGGAATTGAAACTTAGACTTTAGGAGTATTTTACTAGTAAAAGAAGAAGCAGAGAGCGAGAGAGAAAGACAGAGACAGATACACAGACTTACACAGGGAGAAACAAAAAGGGACTTTCCATATTTTTAGTGTTCTTCCTTTTGCTGTCCTCATTGGCATCATATTTTTCAAAATATACTTTGAATGTTATAAAAAACAAAACTTACTCAGCAATTAAAAACAGGGAAGTCATGAAATTTGCAGGCAAATGGTGGGAAAAGATCATCCTGAGTGAGGTGACCCAGAAGCAGAAAGACACACATGGTATATACTAACTTACCAGTGGGTATTAGACATTTAATATAGGATAATCATACTAAAATCTGTACACCCAAAGAACCTAATCAAGAAGGAGGACTCTGGGTAAGATGCTCAATCCTCACTCAGAAAGGCAAATGAGACGGACATCAGAAGAGGGAGAAAACAGGGAAGAGGATAGAAACCTACCACAGAGGGCCTCTGAAAGACTCTACCCAGCACTGTATCAAAGCAGATGCTGAGACTCATAACCAAACTTTGGGCAGAGTGTAGGGAATCTTATGAAAGAAGGGGGAGATAGAAAGACCTGGAGGGGACTGGAGCTCCACAAGGAGAGCAATAGAAGCAAAAAATCTGAGCACAGTCTCTTTTCTGAGACTGATACTCCAAACAAGGACCATGCATGGAGGTAACCTAGAAACCCTGCTCAGATGTAGCCCATGGCAGCTCAGTCTCCAAGTGGGTTCTCTAGTAAGGGGAACAGGGACTGTCTCTGACATAAACTCAGTGGCTGGCTATTTGATCACCTCCCCCTGAGGGGGGAATCAGCCTTACCAGGCCACAGAGGGAGACAATGCAGCCAGTCCTGATGAGAACTGATAGACTAGGGTCAGACGGAAGGGGAAGAGGACCTCCCCTATTAGCGGACTGGGAGAGGGGCATAGGAGAAGAAGAGGGAGTGAGGGTGAGTTTGGGAGGGCATGAGGGAGGGGCCTACAGCTGGGATACAAAGTGAATAAACTATAATTAATATAAAAATAAATTAAAAGAAAAAACTTACTAAAAGTTCTAAAACAAAACTTATTAAAAGTTATTAATCTCATACCTTGCATAACATGCTCCAATCTTCTGTACATTCTTGTCGAAATCCAGATGTGAAAGCACCAAGGTAAGCTATTACACCTGCTGATACTAAGACATCACCAGTTAAGTTTTCATATGTTATTTGAAGGTCATTTGCAGCTTGAGACCATCTGTAAAACAAGCCAAAGGCAAAACCGATTAACAACAGACAATTGCATGGAGAGGGCTGGCTGGGAGGGCTGGCTCAGTGGTTAAGATCACCGCTGCTCTTTTAAAGGACTGGGCTTCAGTTTGCAGCGCCCACGTGGTGGCTCACAACTGTCTGGAACTATGGTTCAGGGATCCAACACCCTGCTATGGACTCCACAGGCGCTCGGCATGTATATAGTGCACAGACATGCATGTAGGCCAGCAGTCATATCCATAAAATTAAAACAATAAAAAAATTGCAAAGGCCTTTTTGTCCAAATCCTGTAAGAAAAAGCTGTGCAATGTTGGGCTTCTCTATAAAATGAAGAGGGTGGATCCCTTCTAGCTCTATTGTGTTGCATTATATGAATTTCTACGTATTAGAGCAGTAGGTATGTCTTGTAGGACTCAGCCTTTCCAAAAATGACAACCCTAACATTTTTGCTTCATAATCTTCTCTAGGATGATTTGGTCCCACTGTCTGTTTCAGTATTTATTCTAGATAGTAAGAACCAGAAACATTTGTAGTTCATTTCAGAAATGCTGTCTTGAATCAAGACTATTTGATATACCTTAAGCTGAAAAGTTGAAATCCTGTAGATTAAGTCAATAGTTTTTCTCTTCAACAAAACCATTACTAGAAGTTATTCCAAAATCATCTGACCTGGACTAAATTACTGTATCATGTTAGTCATTGAATAAACATTATCAGTAATGAAATAGCTGATTGTCCAGTCCAATTTGAAAATACATAGAAAACTGGAAAAGAATTGCATACCTAACAACAGATAGCACTTAGAAAAAAGACTGTAACACACTGTATTTTTTTTT